ATTATTTTGCTCTGGAAGAGGCAACACCACCAAGTGTTGACTAAGGTATGGCGTATTGGAACCCTGATTCAGAGAAACCAAATGTCAAACACCTTTAATGAGGCAACTGCGGAAATCTGTGGACAGGATCTGGATATTTGATGGTATTAGGGAATTATTTATTTTTTTAAAAAATGTGATGATATTGGGGTGTCTGCGTGGCTCAGTGGGTTAAGTGGCTGACTCTTGGTTTCGGCTCAGGTCATGATCTCAGGGTTGTGAGATTAAGCCCCAGGTTGGGCTCTACACTGAGCGCAGAGTCTGCCTGTCCCTCTTGCTGTTCCCTCCCTCTGCTCCTCCCCTCACTCATGTTCATGCATATGCTCTCTCTCTCCCAAATGAATAAAATCTTTAAAAAAAAATGTGATGATCCTGTGGTTACATTGCTAAAAGATTACAATATACATAATAGACATACATAGACATATCACAGATAACAGGAAATTATGTCTGGGAACTTCATGATTATCCAGGGAAAGGAGGTGAAGGGTCTAACATGAAACAGAACTGGTCATGAGGTACCTGTTGAAGCTGGATCATGAGTACATGAGTGTTTGCTATACTATTTTTTATACTTTTCAATGTATTTCAAACCTTCATAGTAGAAAGATGTGTATATTTGTGTGTATAAACAGGAATAAATCCAAAGAAAGGTGTGTAAGATTTTTACAGCAAAAATTGTTAAACTTTATTCAAAGGTATTTTAAAAAATATTTTATCTATCTATCTATCTATCTATCTATCTATCTATCTATCTAAGAACTTGTGATGGGAGGTGGGGAGAGGGACAAAGAGACTCTGTGCTGAGTGAGGAGCTCAAGACAGGGCTTGATCTCATGACCCTGAGATCATGACCTGAGCCAAAATCAAGAGTCGGAAGCTCAACCGACTGAGCCACCCAGGCACCCCCAAAGGTATTTTTTTTTTAAAGGCCTGAATAGAACAACAAAACAGACCCTAGTAGAGAAATAACTGACATTCCTGGACAGGATGGTTCAGTATTAAAAGATCTCAGTATCAATTCAATGCAATTCTAACCAAAATCTCAAATTTTTGTGGAGCTCACGGAACTTGAAAACGTATCCTAAATTCATATGTAAGAGCAAAAACCCAAGAATAGCGAAAACAATTTTGAGAACTAGGATGGAGACTTGCCTTTCTTGTTACCAACTGCCGCAAGACACATTATAAAACCAAGGTAATTAAAACAGTGTGATATGGCATAAAGACACATGGATCAGTCGAATAAAACAGAGAGCCCAGAAACAGATCCCTGCATTTATAAGAACTTGGTACAGGACAGAGTTGGTTCTGATTCAGCAGGTAAAGGATTTCATCGATGGTGTTGGGACAAATGATTATCCAAGCAGAAAACGGTAATACTCGACCTCTACTTTATGTTATATACAAGCCAATTTTAAATGGAAAGTAATTCATCATAAAACAGCATATGTTTAAATATACAAATGTTCAGGCTGACTACACTAGAATACATAATGAAGTACAGCAGTCAGATGCTTGCACCTAAACTTAGAATCACCATGAGCGCAAAAGCTACAAATGTGGGCTCATGCAGGTGTGCTGTATGGCAACTCAAATACCACGAGCTGGGCTGCCTTCAGCTATGCGATTTTCTCAAGTGATGAACAACTCTTGTTAAAGTTCCAAAACACAAGTAAGTATAATTCCCCTTGATTTACATTTGAGTTGCATTCCTGGAAATTTTACTATGTCAAACTGTGCCAAAAAAGACATGTTTATACGAAAAATGGAGTTAGGTTCTAGGCTGAGATTAGAAATGAGTATCCTGTGGGACACTCGAAAATGGTACAGGATGCAGGACAACTCTTCACTGCAGAACATCTAGCATCCCCAGCCCTGCTCTGTAAACCCCGGTAAGTGCCTCCAAATCACAATAATAACCAAATGTGCTCTCACAGATTCCAAAATGACCAACAGGGCAGTACCATCCCCTTGGAGAACCAATGCTCTAGAAAAACTCTTGCATAAAGAGACATGTACAAGGATGTTCATTGCAGTTTTTTTTCAAAATAGCAGAACATCTGAAAAAACCTAATAAGGGAATGAAAACAATATTATATACTCATAATGAACACTTAGAATGAACCTGGCTATCTGTATTGATATGAATGTTATCTCGAAAACAATGTTGAGTGATAAAAGCAAATTACCAAATGAAGCCCACAGTATGATACTACTATTTTCAAAATTTAAAAAGTAATAAAAGTAAGCAACTGTGCCACTCAGTGGTGCAAAGTAGGCATTTGATTCTTGGTTTCAGCTCAGGTCATGATCTCAGGGTCATGAGCTAGAGCTCTGCGTAGGGCTCTCGCTCAGCGTGGAGTCTGCTTAAGCTGCTCTCTCCCTCTTCCTCTGCCCCCCTCCCCGTCTTGCAATCTCTCACACATGCTCTCTAATTTAAAAAAAAAGTAATATACTGTTTATGAAGTACATATATACTGTACAAATATAAATACATGGGCATGAATGATGCACAATTTCAAAAGAGTGTTTGCCTCTAGGGAGGGAAGAAGGCAGGCAAATGGGGCCAGAAAAGAGAACAAAAGGGATCACAATTTAATATGATGTTTTATTTACTTAAAAGAAAAAACTTAAGCAGATGTGCCAAAATGTTAATGTTTGTTAATCTAGTTAGTAGGGCATAGGTATCTGTTATACTACCCAGTGTAATATTCTCTATTTATGAAATTCTTGAGAGAATTCTTAATTTTTAAAGAGGTAGCTGGTGGCTCAGTGCGTATGAATCGAGATCAGAGACCAGATTGGTGACCAGTAGGGAACTCTCTGGACAAGGGATGATGACGGTCTGGACTCCTGCCTTAGCTGTGGAAATGGAAAGGAGGGAAAAGGTGTTAGAGATGACTCAAGTTTCCTGCTTGGTTGACTGAGCTGATAGTATACCCTAACAAGACAACTAGTTAAGTGTAATTGCTGTTTTGGGTAAATTATAAAAATAACCTGTAAAACTTGGACCAACTCTAATGCCTAGAATACAGGGCAAGTGGTGGTCGAAGTTGGTACCGTTAGAAACATGGCCTTTCAATCCCCTATGGAATATTAAAAGGTTCATCAGACACTGGGAGTCCGTATATGGCATGGCTTTAAAATAATGAGATAAATACCCCAAGCTCTTATAAGAAAACGGTTCATCACTTTATAACCAAACTGTGTACATCTTCTGGTTAAGCATGGAAAGGAAAGCCTGGATATAGTATAGAGCGCTGCTGTGGAAAAGATGTGAACATCTGGTCATTTTGTCTTGTTAATTCTGTGTGGGAATAATACTTGTGATTATTTCCCATACTGTAATAGCAAATTATTGAGTAAATACGATTAAAGTGGGGTTTTGCATTCATGTCCAGCACTTTTTCAAACCTTCTTTGAGAACAGATGGTTTAGCCAACCTGGTTTCCTGAGTAAGTCCATTTACCTAACTCTCTGGCATTTAAAGCAGGTAGACTAGAGTCAGAATAAAAGAATGTCTCAAGGGGCACCTGGGTGGCTCAGTCGTTAAGCATCTGCTTTAGGCTCAGGTCATGATCCCAGGGTCCTGGGATCCAGCCCCACATCGGGCTCCCTGCTCAGCGGGAAGCCTGCTTCTCCCTCTCCCACTCCCCCTGCTTGTGTTCCCTCTCTGCTGTGTCTCTGTCAAATAAAATCTTAAAAAAAATAAATAATAATGTCTCAATTTGAACACCCTGTTTAGTAGCTGACAACCAGAGCAACTCCAGGGCCAGTCTTCCCCCTCTGTGCGCCTGCTGTGAGGTCTTTCTTTGGAAAAGAGATTGTCCAAAACTTTTAGAGGTCTGTATAGTGAGTGCACTGCTCATTCATTTACTGTTGGTTCTACACACCTTTTCTCACAGCTCTCAGAGAAAACTGATAGGCATACATTAAGGTCCCTGACCCCTGCACATACAGCCTAATAGATTAGAAATATACTGCTCTCCGTGGCTGTCGATCATGTGTGAGAATACTAATGGCCATTACAGGATGACTTACAGTCCAGTACAAATGTGGATTCCACGGAGGGTAAGTTGGCCCTAGGGCTCCTGCTGGTGGGAGCTAGATATCTCACCCATTCCTACATTTTCAGAGTCAAGGCCTTGAAGGCAGCCGAAAACAGCGATTACAGGAATGAATGGCCCTTCTTCAGGATTCCTTTCCACTTTCCTTTATAACCATTCCAAACCTTCAAATATAATGGGGGGGGCGGGGGTCACACATTTATTTTTCTACAGTAAACATTTCACTACGGTTTGAATTTTAATGTATCAGGATAATGCTTCTACCTCTGTAATTAAGTAAAATGCAACACTGGGAAAAATAAATCGCGAAGCTACCTAAATGCCATCGATGTGACATTATCTCTTCTCACTGAGAGAAAAGGGGGTATCCGTGGATCCAGACACGTCCTTCCACCCTTTTTCCTGGGCGGTGTGTGGACCGTCTGTAAGCTATCTCGCCAGGGACTCTCCGGACAGCAGCACTCCGCGCTGTAGTCAACACCCCAGGAACTAGGGCTCTAGCGTCTCTCCCAAGGCCTGCGGCTCGTTCAAACTGACCGCAGGAAAACGTCGCCCCCAAGTCTCATCTTCAGACTGTTCGTCGGGCGACCTCCCAGTAATTGGAAAGATTAAGGCCTCGGTCATAAGGTATCTGAACCAGACACATTTCCCTTTCTTAGGAGCACGACAAAGAAAGCATCCCTCTTCCTCAGCCCCAATGAAGTATTTATTGGCCTCCGGGCCTTGGGTCCAGATCGGCGGTAAGGGTGATGTGAGAGTCCGCGCACAGCCATCCGCCCACGCGGTCTTCCAGCCTCAGCCCCAGCCTTGGCCATTGTCCCTTCGCAGCCGCCCCCCACTTTCCTCGCCTACCCCCCACCTGGCTCTCCCTCTCCCAGGTCCCCTACTCACATCTCATGGTCCGGCCAGTTCCACCCCACAGAGGCTTCGGTCTACTTATGACGAATCACAAGTGGGCTTTCATCCAGGCGATTCCATATTCGCTAATCAGCGCCGCTCTTTCAACGCCCAGCTTCCTTCTCATTTGCTTACGTCCGCAGCGCCTCCAGACAACGCTAAGCGTGGTGGGTGGGCACGTCGCACTTCGTTACGCCCTCCGATTGGTCGGTGCTATTGGTCCCGAGACCGGCCTCAAGTTCGATTGGATCGAGGCAGTCCGGGCTCCGCCTCCCGTCCCACCTCGTTGTCAATCACACCATCTCTTAGGTAACCCGCAGAACCAATGGTCAGTCTAGCGTGGGGGCGGGTTGTTAGGCCGGAGAGAGCTGCTCTCCCGGCCTCCCTCGCTGTTACTATGGAGACTGTACAGCTGGGGTGTGAAGCGGAGGAGGGCAACCCCTTACCCTCGTCTCGAAGTCCGGAGATTTGTACAGCAGTCTAGACGTTAATATCTGTTTCGGAGTCTGATAGGCGTCTCAGTCCCCGACCCACTGGTTTGGGTGGGCGGCGGGACTCCGGGGGCAAGTCAGATTAGGCCTCGGAGAGGTGGGGTCAGGCCCTGTCATTAAGGGTCCCTAAAACCTCCCACCTCCGGACGGAACCGAGTCCGTAGCACAAGTTGTATGTACCAACATCATATTTTCCTTTATCCTTGCCTCGCCGTACTTTATTTGGAGTTGTTCTTGTGTTAGCCTTAGGAAGTAGACTATGGCAAGGATCATTCTTCTCATGGGACAGACTGAGGAAACGAGGCCAGGGTCAATCAAGTAAATCGGTAGCCACACCTCCAGGCAGCTGGAACTGGCCCATGCTTTAGTAGACTGCTCTTATCTAACTGCAAACTAAAACTCGCCGTGATTTTGTTCCAAAGCTATGTATGGCCCGTTAGACCAAAACATCCATCCATAAATCAGGCCAACCAGTGGAAACAGGACAGAGGACTCATGCTCCACGGCTGAATCAGGAAGGGAAAACAGACAACACTCAAACAAACAATACCAAATTTGAGAACTGCAGTACTTGAATCTTTGACCTTAGACATCATTCTGAAACATCATGAAGCAAACTATTCAGTCCTGGAACATTGAAGCTCTGATGTAAGGAATTCAGCTCCTGCACCATAGCTTTATGAATAAAATGGAGGAAGATGGTTGAATTCCATTGAATGTAAGTCTCAAATTTACTTTCAGGGTTTCATTTGTAGTCATATGTCCTAACCAACTATTTCTTAGGTGTTTAACAACTGAACCACTTGGCCCAATGCGCAGCTCTGAGGTTAAGAAAGCCATTATTTTGATTAATTCATTTCATTGGAATTGAGTGTTAACTGTAGCTAAGCACTGGTAGGGACTATGAGGATACAAAAAATACCATGTGATTCCTGCCCTCCTTAATAAGCTGTGGTTTGTTACTGCCAACAGCATATGAAACATTAGGAGACACTTTAAGGCAAGATATAACATGAGCCAAACTTAATTTGCCCCCATAATAATAATAATACTTCATATTTGCAGAGCATTTTGTAGGTTTAAGAGCACTTCTTCACTCATATTCTTTGGGGAAATAGTGTTTTGGCTGGAGTTAATTGGGGGTCTTCGTGGTATAGCTAGCATGAATGCTGGGCCCTGGAATATGGGTAGGAATGGAAAAGGTGGAACAGAGATGGAAGGGAATCCGGGGAAAGAAAATAGTTTGAACTAAGAGATTGAGACAAGAATGAGCACTGAGTATCTGGGGAATAATGTGGAGACTGGTCTAAGCCAGAGTGGAGACAAATAATGGAAAATAACACTGTTTAGACCAAGTGGTCAGGAGTTCTTAATGTTTGGGGGAGAAAGTATTCCAAAGTTTGAGATTGGAAAAGTTAACCTTCTTACACTTCAAATGATCAAGCTGACTTTAGTTAAATTATAAATTAAGAATAAGGCATAACTGAGAAGGCACTTCAGACCTCTTACATCTTCCTGAATGGATGTAACATTTTAGGTTTCCTCTCACATCAAGGGACCCTCCCCGCTAGCCCCACCTCTATCTCATCCCTTAACTGGGACGAGGTATTAGTTTTCTGATTAAATAATGATATTCTACCCTCTCATTGAAATTGAGAGAAGTGCTGTCACCATAGCACTCCATCTTTTGCCATCTCTTAATCAAAGTTCACTCTAGAGAAGATTGATTACTTGACTATCCAATCTTTCTCCTTTTAAAAATTGTCTCCTCTGTCAAGTGTTATACAGTGCCTCTCCACGTTGCTCCAAATCTCAGCTGTATACGTACACAGCTAATATTGTACTTGTAGAATGTACTTAGGCGCCATATATGTATGCATATCATTTGTTTAATTACAATTTTCTTTTCTCCTAAACAAACCAAAAAGTTCAAGCAATAACAGTACAAACCAGTGCCCAGTTGCCTCTTTCTTTAATGTGTAAAATCATTTGTTATGCTGTCTGATAGAGGTAGGGAAGCAAAAAGACTATGGCAAGGAGTAAGGAGTGATTTCAGGAGAAGGCATAAAATTTTCATGTTTATTTTATAGTCAGAACTTTCTCTGCCAGGGAGTCCTAAATTCTTTTATATAAATTTTCTCTTGTGTGATTATTTGAGCATTTCTGTAGGTCTGAAAATGTACCCGACACCTAAGTGATTGTTGGTTATTAACTGAGACTCAAAAGCTACCATTGTTCTATTCTGCTAATTGGGAAACTGGGTAAACAAAAATTTCTCCCAGTACAATTGTCACTTGTTGAACCCAAGTTACTGGCTTTCTAAGATCATCCAGAATTACCACCATGATGTTCCAGGTCATAATATTTACCTGATGCTGTAGACCAGGGGTCAGCAAATTACAGTCTGGGGGCCTCATCTGGCCTGCCATCTATTTTTTGTATGACCGGCAAGCTAAGAATGAATTTTACATTTTTAAATGGTTAGGGAAAAAACAAAAGAAAACTGTGAAAACTATAGGAAACTCAAGTCTCAGTATAAGTAAAGTTTTGCTGGAACACAGGTGTGCAAGCAGTTTGTCTATGGCTGCTTTCACTTTACAACATCAGAGCTGAGTAGTTAATACAGAGACTATATGGCCCCTAAGCCTGAAATATTTACTGCTGGGCCATTAAGAAAAAGTTTTGAACCTTACTATCTTAGAAGTCTCTAATGATGGGCACCTGGATGGCTCAGTCAGCTAAGCATCTGCCTTCGGCTCAGGTCATGATCCCAGGGTCCTGGGATGGAGCCCCATATCAGGCTCCCTGCTCAGTGGAGAGTCTGCTTCCCCCGCTCCCTCTGCCCCTGCTCATGATCTGTCTCTCTCAAATAAATAAATAAAATCTTTTTTTTTTAAAGAGGTCTCTAATAAATCAGGTCCCATGGAATGTTGGAACCAAAACAGACTTTGGAAATCATGTCAATAAAAAACAAAACAAAAACTAACATTGATAGCGATAAATTATTTCTTGCCTAAAACCACATAGTCTGTGGACAGAGCTGGTATTAGAATCCTGGTTCCTCTGGCCCAAGGTTTCCTGCATCCATGCTGTGTCTTTTCTCATATAGAGCTTATCTTACTTAGGATAGGATAGGTGTTGTATAGTCTGGAGGCAAGGAGAATTCATCAGATCTTTCCTAATTCTAATCCCCTATCTCATCCAGACAAATACAGTGCACAATAATCAGTTGATAGATCCTTGGACTTGCATTATTTCAGCCCATATGAGTTGTCTTCTGTTTTTCATTTTTTTCTCATTTCTCAAAGGTATATGACCATGATGAAAACTTTCTCCTTTTACGTTTTTTTTTTTTTTAAATCTCTTTTCCTCCTTCAACAAAGGAATTCAGAGGTGACTGAGTCTCTATTCCAGTCTAAGTTTCTTCAGGGAGATGAGGATGATTAGGAAGCCATAGGACGCACAGTTATTACTCTGGAGTCCATGGATGGGCCATATGTGCGGAGAAGGGAGGGAGAGTGTCCACAGACCCCCTTGAATGGTAAGGCTTAGTGGGTGTGTGCATGTGTAGGCTTTTCTGGGGAGAGTGTCCATAGCTTTCTTCAGATTTTTAAGAGTCCATGACCCCAAGAAGATTCAGAATTATAGGTATATAAAAAAGAGATGTGTCTGTGGGAGAAAACTGCTCAGATGTGTGGCAGGGGAGACTGATCTGGGTTCTCAGGTCTCTGAGACCTCAGCTGATATGAGGGGAGAACTCTCTGCCCACTTACCTCAGCCCACCCAAGTTTTTTACCTTCTCTGCCAGTCATAGAGGTGATAAAAATTCATCAGATTCACGTAACGGTTGAACTCCGATGGTGATGAAATCCCAGTATAATTCTCTCCGAAGCATGTTCTGATTAATAGAAACTGCAGAGGAACTAATTTTATGAAAATAGCAAATGGGATTGTTTTAGCTGAAGCAAGCCGGGAGAGCGGGTGCTCTTCTTCAGCGGGTGCTGAAGCCGAGCGAAAGATGCAAACAGCCCCATTGTGCAGAGCTGACAGCTCCAATCTGGCCGTTTATTTATTAAACGTCTTTCCGCTGTAAATTATTGAGCCTGGATTCTGGGAGATGAAGGAGCTGACAGGATAAGACAATAGGATAGAAAGCAAACCTGCACAGCTTCCTTCAGCATTATCGCAGCATTGTGTCTTACGAAAGCCTCTGCTTCCCCTGGTTTGGGGAAGGGGGTGAGTTCCCTCTTTGGTGGGCCTCCGAAACAGATGAGACAAGTAACAGGCTTTTAATTTCTGAAGTATTTGTCCATTCTTAACAAGTCAGAATGTCCTTCAGAGAAAATTCAACCTGTTGGCTCAACAACTGAGAGCCAGGTATTTTGTCTATTTTCCAAAAGGACTGCTTCGCTCCCACAAGGAAGAACCAAATTACATGTTTTAGTCTACTCAGCCGCCGAAAGATTGAGTCCATTTGGCTTATATGAGAGCTGGGAAGGTTTTTCATGCTGGAAGAAGTTCTAAGGTCTATTCCTCTGCTGGTTGGCAGAGAAGCAGTTGAATTCGGATTATGCTAGTAATCATTTGAACAGCCAGAGTTCTGGAAAATAGGAGAGGAGCTGGGC